CCGTATTCATCAACGAACCCTGAGGGTTAAGCTTATCCTCCAGGGTTAGTTTAACCCTTAAAGTTCATTGGCCGTATTCATCAACCATAGGCTAGGGTTTACCACGGAACGCGATCTACCCGTATCGATCAACGAACCTGTGGCCGTATTCATCAACGAACCCTATGGTTGATGAATACGGCCAATGAACCCTGAGGGTTAAACTAACCCTGAGGGTTAAGGCGTCAGTCATGCGTGCGCTGTGCAAACTCACATCACAGAATGCCTAAGTACGCTAATTTACTTTATATTTCTATTCTTTCACTGTTATCTATCCCACTATAATAACGCGCTAAGGGTGTTTACGTTTTTTTGTGTGTGTGTGTGTGTCTGAATGTCTGTCTGTCACGAAATTCATAGCGCGAGTTCCAGCCAACGTCCTGAGCCCAAATCTTGCATAGCGCATGCTACCAGTATAAAAGTCCACCATGCGAAAGCACGAGCGGATTTGTTAAGTGGATCTCTCAGAAATTGCGCGTCAGCCGGGTCCAATTGGCTTTCGGCCCGCATATCGGATCCATATCACCACTTTTTGCAAAGTCGTGGATGTGCTTAGCATCTCAATGTGCAAGCCATGGGCTTTGCTCCAAAAAAGGGATCAAAAGTCTACTACTTTACAAAAAGGACGCCGAAAAGCATTGATTGCTCGATGGTCGATTTGCCAAGGTTTAACTTGAGCATTTGAGGAGATTTTTGCACAGAGATGTGGCTCAGAGTGTTACTGTCCTTATAGCAAGTACCTAGCCAGAAAAAAATTCAAGAATCTATTCAAATTTGCATTTGTTCTTCTGCGAAAAATTTCGTCCTCTCAAAATTACCGTTCTCACATGGAAAAGCTTTTGGAATGAGTAGTTGTTTACATTTTATTCGTGATATTCGGCATCGTCCGGTGAGTTTCAATGTCATCACAAGACATGAATGAGTAAGGCGTACAGAGTAGGACACAGCGAGCCTCTGCGAATCAGTGTATTTCATAGCGCAAGCTGCAGCCAATATTTCGAGCTGATTTTTTGGCTATAGCACGCCAGCAGCATCCAGGTTGATTATGTAAAGAAGTGAGCGAATCTGTTTCGGTTGAAAATCGCGAGTCAAACGGATCTACCAGGCATTTGCTAAGGCAAAAATGAGACCCTAATGCAAGGAGTCTGCAGTAACTGTAAGACTTTTAACTTGGACATCTTCTAAGCCCTGGAATTCATCGCAGATACATAGCAAAAAGTTAGTTTCGTGCAAAAGTGGCGTCAAAAAGAGATGACTCAACTGTTCATTTTCAAAACACTCACTGTATAGCTGGAAATATTCTAGGCTGGGAATGTAGCGTGCATCTGTTGTTGTTGTTCTAATTAGCCAGCCAACATCGCATTGATAGAACGGATTCAAAATTACACTAACCGTTCACCAAAAAGTTTCGCCACGCTAATTTTACCGGTTTCACATGAAAACCTCGCAGAATGAATGGTTGTTTACATCATATTCTTCCCGGTCAGAATGGGGAGGTTCAAAGCAATTTGAGAGATGAGGCAGGGCGCTGTTTAGCTCTGAGGACAAGCATGGACGCGCAGACCCGCACGGCACCATCTCCATGGGGTGCATAGAGGCAGTACCTGCTGTGGACGTACCACACTTTGCCTTTCTTAAGAGGAGATATTGCTCAAAAACTATATAGTAGGACCAGTGCGATCCTCTGCGAAGCATCATCATCCACTTTCATACTTTCACCACTTTTTGCAGAGTCGTGGATGTGCTTAGCATCTCAGTGTGCAAGCCATGGGCTTTGCTCCAAAAAAGGGATCAAAAGTCTACTACTTTACAAAAAGACGCCGACAAGTATTGATTGCTCGATGGTCAATTTTTCAAGATTATACCTGATTATTTGAGAAGATTTTTGCACAGAGGTGTAGACCACTATGTTTATTGTCCTTACGGCGACTACCAATCCATAAAAATTCCAAAAGCCTATTTGAATTTGCATCTGTTCTTCTAAGAAAGATTTTATCCATGCGAAAATACCGACCTTACATGGAAAACCTCTAAGAATGAGTAGTTGTTTACGAATTATTCGTGATAGCCTAAGCCTACATAGCGCGGTGAGTTTCAATGTCATTATTATGCGGGAATGAGTAACGCATACAGAAAATAGGGCCAGTGCGAGCCTCTGCGAAGCAGAGGTGACGCACTGGTATATATATAAAACTCAAAAATTGTCAGTTTGGAGGGTATGTGCGTTATAGAAACGCGCGCCGCTCAACCGATTAAGCTGAAACTTTGCACACACATGTTTTCGACCCTTGCGCAAATGATAGGCTACTTTTTGTGGCGATTCGTTGGGTCGTTCTATCGATTTATTGATTTGTTTACATTTTCCTAAGGAATTGAAAGTTTATCATGTTCAATCAAGCATTTTACATACTCATGTAAAGGAGGGCGGTGAAGCTCATTTTCATCTCAGGATCACGAGGATGCGGTTTCCAAGCGGATGTCCCAGGGTAAGTCACCCATGCGGGGGTGGGGGGATGGGGATGGGGGCTCGCAGTGCGGTGAACCATGGCCCGGGCTGGACCGGGAAAGCCAACTAGTAGTAGTATAATCAACGAATAAGCTTGTAGCACTAGTTTTTATGATACATCTCTAGCATATTTGTGCAGCATCTAATCTTACAGCGTGGGTTTATTTTCACGTGTGCAATTGTGCCGTGTAAGTTCTTTTGCGTAGTTCGTTTTATACCGGGCTTGTGCTACTCTTTTAAGGGTCAATGCGTGTTATCATAGGAATTCTTCTGTTTTGGCACTTGTCAGAGTGGAATGCGCAACCATTTTTCCTCGTTGCATTCATTTGTCACCAAGCTAGGATTTTTTTCTCGCGAAGTCAGTGTTTCATGTACTCCGAATCTGAACACGAAACGAAGTTGAAACTAGTTACTATAACAACAGCTAATACTAAGTACTACAACACTCGTTGATCGTTTTCTATAAAACTATTAGATGCGAGTAGATGTTTGTATGAAGTGTTAGGGTAGAGTTAACCTTGCTCTGAGCTAGGGTTAAATTAACCCTGATGAATCACGTAAGTTTAACCCTCCAGGGTTAGTTTAACCCTCACGGTTCGTTGATGATTACGGGTTAGTCGCTTTCGGGGTAAAATTAACCCTGGTTAGATTTAACCCTCAGGGTTAAGCCTACCCTGTGTTTCATGAATACGGGTTAAACGCTTTCCAGGGCTAAATTAACCCTCCAGGGTTAGTTTAACCCTCGGGGTTCGTTGATGAATACGGCCACTAAGCTCAAATTTTGCATAGCGCATGCTACTTCATGAAAGCCCAATATGCAAAAGCACGAGTAGATTCGTTGAGTGCGTCCCTCAAAAATTGCGCGCAAAACAGATCCACCTGGCTTCAATCCCGCAAAATTGGGCCCGTATCACCACTTTTTGCAAAGTGGTGGGTGCGTTTGGTAAGCAAATGTGCAAGCGATGGAGTTTAGCCCGAAAAGTGGTCAAAAGTTTACTACATAACGAAAACGGCGCCAAAAAGAATTGGCTGCGTAAATGGTCAATTTGCTAAGGTTCTACTCAAGCATTTGAGAAAATTTTCGTACGGAGGTGTAGAGCACGGACACTATTGCGTTTATGGCGAACTACCAAGCCATGAAAAATTTAGAAACTTATTCAAATTTGCGTTTGTCTTTCTGCGAAAAGTTTCCTCCACACGAAATTACCGATCTCACGTGAAAAAGCTTTCAAATGAGAATCTGTTTACATTTTATTCGTAGTAGTCGGCATAGCACGGTGAGTTCCAGTGCCACGATTTTACGAGAATGAGTAAGGCACATAGATAGTAAGCCAGTGCGAGCCTCTGCGAAGCAGAGGTGGCGCACTGGTTCGATATCTAGTTTGTCCAGAATAGATATAAGGGACTTCTCAGTGTATAATTGGCGTTCTGATGTCAAGACATCATCCAGTTCAGGTACGCAGAGATAACAATTGATCGCTCGCGTTTCTCTTGATCTGTAAGGTCCTTTGTTGTAGCTGGCCTGATTATGTTAAGCAGACGGTCAAGCAGTGGCGAGACCTCAGGGGCCTTTTCAGCCAGGATCGAATGGAGCTGCGCTAGTAGTGTACCCTCTTCATCTTGCGCCTTGTTCGGTATATTGCTAGAAGGCGCAGTCGGCTCCAAAGTGGACAAGCAGCATTGCTCACCTTCTTGGACATAAAGGCAGCGTCCGGGCAGATATGAAAATTTAGTGTGTACGGGCTCCAGCGCTGATAAAGCTCTTGCCTAAGTGGCATTGCACCACTTCGCTTCTAAAGCGAGAAAACCGCTTCAGAAGTGGCGACCGGGACGCCCCAGCGACCTGCCCGTCCCTTCAATCGATAGCCAGAATCTGTATGTCGCACACACTCAAGACGTAGGGTCACCACGACTCTGCGTCTTAACCTCGGCGGCAAGCTTTCATGAAATCAACGGCTTCTAAAACATCCCGTTTTCGACATTTTCGTACTCTGCAAGCTGCAAATTGGAATCAGTGGGAAGAATAAGCCCCAGGTAAGCGAAAAAAGTTTTGTTCGAAATTTTGCCCGGACGCTGCCTTTAATTCGTCGTTGGGAAACCATTATAGATCAGAGCTAGAAATAGCATAACTGCTCGATGAGATCGTGGGAGATGAATGATTGTCAATGATCAATTAATAATTATTAATAATTATTAACGATTAAGTAGTGTATAGCTACATACTTTTGGGACACCTTTTATAATGAATCTCCAAACAAATGAACATCTTATAATCGAGAAAAGTTATTTCGTCCTTTCCAGAAAAATTATGTGACGTCCTTTTTGTATTTGTCAAAATCAATCTCTACACCGAAAGACGTTCTTGCATTGCAGACCTGCACAAATGGTTAGCTCCATCAAAGTGAATTCTCGCTTGTTCAAGATAAAGTTGGTGATAACGAGTGTTTATAGAGGAATGCTTTCCACAGTTCGCTTCATTCTTGCACCTACGACTAAGATGTTCTGGTCTTTACTATTCTTGGAAGTTCTCATTGTTTGTGAGATCAGAAAGTCGTTTCAAGATGGTGGGTTCTTGGGCCAAGAGGAAGATTGAACCCAAGCACTGCTGTTTCAGCTTGTCTAGAACTGCCATCCTACATGACTGCCGAGGAACTAGTAAGTTTCTAGTAATGAAGTATCAAAATCAGATGTGCAGGGAACAGCAGAAAGTATAAAGATGATTTGGCAAAGTGATCCACTTTATGTGGGGACAAATGGAAGTTCCGACCAAGCCGATGCCCCTCTAGGTGTATATTCGTGACTCCGAAATTCAGAGGGTCCTAAGAACACGTCTAAGTCTGCCCATCATATTGGTGGTCTTGAAAACGTTTTGTTTCTGGTAAATTTCAATCTGATAAACTTTGTCCATTTGTTGCCCATTCTTCTCATAATATGACAGCTCATCGATGCTTCGCTTTTACGTATTCCGCTCACAAGAGGACATTCATATCCGTGCTGCGAAGTCCGACAAAATGTTGCCTGCGTCGAGTCATTTTGAAATCACGACTCAATGCTCTGTGGGTGTTACGTAGAGCTTCCAACGTGTCTGCTTTGAGCCCGAGCTCCAGGGGCGTAACAAAGCGTCAAGAGAAATGGCTGAGGTCCAGAGGGGTCAGATGGGTTCGAAGGGGTCAGTCAGCTGGCGGGATAACCTTCGGAATTCGAGAGCAACTTAGTCTGCCCTTCTTATCCTGCTAATTTTTCCTTGAAGTCTTTCTCTACGTTTATTGAACTTCCACGATACGCTTAGAAAAGACGCTTCCGTAAAAGAGATACTTTTCCAATTCCATTCCCGTCCTTTCGCTGAGAAGTCGTCTACGCGTATCTTCCAACTCCATTTCATCTCCTTTTGAAAGGCGCTCTTCATACACTGAGTCCCTACTGAGCTCCTTGTTAGCATCTTCTCTGCTTCAGTGCTGCTGTTCAAAGAAGGGATGCGTTGCAAAGCGAAGGTTCAAGGGATATGATTATTTTGCCCATCTCCTTAAAGTTCAATGACTTCATCACCCATTGCAAGGCAGCGGCAAACAGGTTTAGCGAGACTGCGTCCCTTATCGAAAAGCTTTCCAACTGGGACGGTCAGTGGGCGATGGATTAGCTGCAATGTCGTCCTACTTTCTTTTTTGATAGGCGTACTCGAGGAGTATATCAACCCTTTGATCGATACGCATCAAATAACTATCGATTTTTGTTGCCGATATTGGTGACAAAAATTGCCGATTTTGCACGTATTTGATGTTGCTACGACTAACGATCGCTCGCGTGATGCTGACGACAACGATCGCCGACCGCTATCTCTGGGCTGGGCTCATAGAAATTGATCGCTGACAAGCTATACATGTCCAATTGATACGCATCAAACGTGTTGTCGCCACAATTAGCATTTGCCAATCCCTAATAATGGCGGCCGCCATTCTATAATATGCAGATCGCCTGAGTTTGCATTGCTGTAACTTCAAATCATCAGTAGTTTTGACTTCTTTATGCCAAAGAATGCAGCAACGGCCCTCTATAAAATATTATAAATTGTGTACTTGCGAGTCCAAAATAAATCTGGAGTCCATTCAACCTCTCAGGGCTTACAATTTGCTATTGGGGTAGCTACATTCAAAAACTTATTCCATCAAGACATGCGAAAAAAAATGGACACGCCTGCGTGACATGATCATTGTGTTTTCGAAATGAATTTGAAAGTGTAGGAGTGCAGCAGTCACTAATTCTAAAGTAGTCTTCCATCTGTATATCTTCTACATAAAAATCTTTCAGCTCGGCTGATGATTTCTCGGTGCTGGAAGACTCTTGTGTAGAAGATTTATAGATAGAAAAACAAAAAAGTTGGGGCTCATTCTCTATTTCCCTTCCGGCAGTTGTGTCGAAATTCCAGCATGCAGCGCACACAAGCCTGCTGTCAAAGTCCAAAAATTTTCATCCTGAGTTCTACAAGCGGAAGCTTGCTTGTTCATAGTGCACGTTGAGCTATGGAAGCTACCAGCTGATGGTCCCGGTCTCACCCGAAACTCTTAGTTTAACTAATACGTCATCGGCTCCCAGACTCTTGTAGAGGTTGCGAACTTTCCTGATCTTCAGGATAAACTTGTTAAAGCTCCACGTTATAGCATTGTATTAGGTCGTTCCCAAAGTAATGCCGCTTTTTTCAAACGAACGCCACATCTCGTGGAACAAAGATGTGTAAGTGCTTCTGGAAGCATTTAATGCACCATTTCATTCTCTTTCTAATGTTTATATGATCACTGCACAAAATCTAATAGCCTTTCGAAAAATTATCAAAATCTGCGACCCGTGCCTTTTGAGAAGGCCAAGTTTCACAAATTTTCTAAATTTTAATAACAACCCTCGGAAGTAGTCCAAGTAATGGATGGATAGAGCAAACCCTACAGGAAACAGCACAACTTTTTTCTACTGAGCTCGTCATAATTTTTGTAAAGATTTTTTGATGGAACCACCGAATTTCAGCAGACTCGTCTCAGACACAAATGCATCAAACACCAATAAATCTTCGGATTTTGAAACTTACAAAGACGGATTATGGTTTGACACTACTTTTTCGAACAAAATGAGCATTCACCGCTTCAGATTAGCAACTTTCGAAATTTCCGGGTACAGCCTGGGGCGCCCTGAGAAATCTGAATTACGATGATTTTATCCCGGAAAACTTGATGAATCGGAAACAAAAAACGACCCTAGAAAGAGGAGAAAAAGCTGCATCGAATGACACCCGAGTCGCTTGCCGGTTGTTGTTCTGTGAGGTTTGAGTTGATCAAATGTGGAATTTGTTGGCATTGAAAAATTGGTTCCAGAAACTCTAAGAAGCAAGCTAAGGAAAGAAAAAAATCACTCTGTGTCCTGTAGGGTTTGCTCTATCTATTAGTCACTTGTACTTCTTCGGAGAATAAGTATTTTTTATTTTTTATTTTTTGAATTTTCAAAAATTCAAAAAAATAACCGAACTTGACCATGGCAAAAAGCACGAGTCGCAAATTTTGGTAATTTTTCGAGAGCTCACCAAATATTATGCAATGGAATTGTAACCGTTAGAAAGAGGATGAAATGCTGCATCGAATGCTTCTAAGATCTCTTGAAAATCTTGATTCCACGAATAGTGGCGTTCATTCGAAAAAAGCGACATTACTTTCGGAACGACCTAATATTTCGTACTCTCTCTCTCTCTCTCGTTGAGCTTATCCTTGAAATCAGTGAAGTCGGCAGCTCGCCCGATCATACTTACACTTTTTAGCTTCTAAAGTGCGCGAAAAGCGCTTCGAGACGAACCCGCTGCATCCTGTCACCTTAAGATTAGAATGTTTACTACCTCTGCTTACATGTTTATTGGAAAGTGATTGGTTAGAGCACGACGTCAGACTTTCATTTTCCCAGATCTAGTGAACAAATCAATAAATCAATAGAAAGACCCTGCGAATCGCCGTAAAAAGTAGCTATAAACCACCGCCGAGGTCGAAAACATATGTGTGCGAGTTTCAGCTCGATCGGTTCAACGGCTGGCGATTCTATAACGAACGAACAGCTAAACAAACATCCTCACAGACATTGAGTTATATACAGGGGTCCCAAAAAAATGTATCGAAGGTTTATCGTTGATATCTCTCTTCTAAAGAAGTCTCTTCCCTTGCATCAGATACCAATCTGTAGAGCTGGCTTCAACACTTAGATTTGCATTATAGAAAGACCTTTATCTTCATTACTGTAGGATTACGGTAGAAACTTCAAAGAGGGTTTTAAGCAATAAGGCCATATTTTGCTTTAGAAAGGAAACAAAACAGCCTGAAAGCTTTTACACTAAGCTAATTAGAGTTGCTGATTATAATTGTAAATTTCCCAACTTATTATGTGCTTCACTGAAGAGTTATGCCAGGTAAGAGGTAGCGGCCATTTCTTCAATGTTACTAAAAAGTGCGGTTACACCGTTTAGAAAGCTTCGTAATCTTGTGAATAGTTGAGTATTGAAGTCAGCGTCCATAAAACCCCAATACACAAGTTTTCACATTTTTGAAAAATTTTAAAACGGCAGCTTTTTCCACATTGACACCATATGTTTCAAGTTTCTATCGTAATCCTACAGTAATAAAGAGAGATGGGTGATTCGTTTTATAATGCAAATCTAAGTTGTAGCCAGCTCTACAAAACGGTGCCTGAAGCAAGGCAAAAGACTTCTTGGGAAGAGAGATATTAACGATCAAACGTTCGATACATTTTTTTGGGACACCCTGTATATATAGAGATAGATATAGATTTTTACGAAAGAGTGGAAGGAATTTGATGATGAGTACCCGCGTATCACAGCACCGGCAACCATTACAGTGTGAAAGCTTGCACAAACAAGAAAAGATACTACTATTTTGAAATCGGAACGCTACGTTGTATCTACTATTGTCCAGTTAATCTCTGCACAAAGATTTGTGCCCTAGGTTGCTCCGCTGTTTTATCGGGGTTCGGCTACAAAATTTTGGGACACCCTGCAGTAACATGTTAACGATAGATACATATGGAAGACACAGCCACTTCTGCCAAACTTCTATAACGCTTAAAACAAACTAAATGTGGTCAATCCAGCTGTATTCTTGCAAACTCCAGCTTGTTCTTAGAGCTGGGCTTCGTTCAGTGTCCCGATACACGAGCGACGAAAATTCTTTGTGAGAAGTTTATATAGCACTTATATAACACTCAGTAGGCTTGAACGGCAGTTCAGGTGCTCCCATTCGCTCTTCTTAAGGGGGAAGACGGTTCTAAAAATTTCCCACTTTTTGAAGATGTGTAGACTCGTTCTCCTGCTCGCAAGATTTCGACGAGGCGATAATCTTATCCTAAAGCCATGACTTCACGGTTTGAATCAAGCAGTTTAGCAATTAGTTCCCATAGTAGTTTCTCTCCAATGAAAAAAATGGGTTCAGCCTGGGTAATGGTATGCGTGAGAGGTTGGTGTAGAACTGCTAGACTTCACCCTTCACTGGGGAGCGGTCCCATCTTCTCTAAGCACTGCTAGATACCAGCTGGTCGTGATATTGCGAAGGTTCCTTCGACAATGCTTAAGACTTCGTCTTGACGTGGAGTTCGTAGATATAACAGTCAAGCTGGTGGTA